ATTGCTACATTTGTTAAAAGAATAAGTTCACCTACACCTATGGCCCTATCCCCCATTGTGACAGCGGGCTGGGCTTCCTCTCCCTGCACCCACTGTTACAATTCAAAAACAGTGCTGCTGTGAAGGGCTCTGCCCACACATCCTTCATTCACAGAGCTCTGTGAATGAATGGACTACAAGTACCATCATCCATTGCGGCAGATGGCTTGTAGTTCTCAAGGAACTACAAAGGTTCCGGTGGAGCTCTCTCATAGTTCATTGATCTTCCCGGACTACAGTGACTATAGTAAAGTACAGTACATTATTCGAGGTACAGACAGACACCTCTATTTACAGTCTTCAGGAGCCTGGCACTGCACCCCCAGTCTGCTGATTGAGGGTTAAATGCTTTACAGGCTCCTAAGAAAAAAAAAATAAATTCACATTTTTTTTCCTGAAAAAAAATATGCATTTATTATTTTTTCCTAAGCTGAACTTAGCCTATGAAGGATCCCTGCTTAGGATGTTTTCTTTGAACACAGAGATCTGCAATTAGCAATTTCACTTCTAGCATTACCTGCTGGTGAAATGCAGTATTGCAGTGTTACAATAAAATGCAGTGGTATTCTATGGAGACCTCTCTGCCAAGTAAAGTAAGCAGCAGTAGAAGGATCTAGCTGGGTGTGCACGCGGGTGCTGCTTCAAGGATTCCAGTTCCTTAGAAATCCCACAGAAATCCCTGAGATATGTGTTATGTACAAAAAAATTACAGCATGAAGGCAACCCATCCTCCATACTAAATAATGGTGGAGTACAGTTTTGTGTGTTGTAGATCGTGGTTGTCACTGACAGAATTCCATCATTCACTCAGTGTTTTTTTTTAAAAAAGGAAGGAGATAAAAAGCATTACTGTATTACTAGGTGCAAAGAGCTTTTGATCAGCCATTACAGCCCATTATGTTAGTGGAAAGTAGAACAGATTGTGTTTTCCTTTTTAAAGTGACTTTCAGTATGCGAGATGAAGATTTTAATTGCTGGAATTAAAAATAAATGGCTAGCAGAAATGCAGGGATGGCTGGCTAAATTTGATATTTGATTTTTTTATGGTAAAGTCTTTTGAAATATTCAGCAAGTAATAACTCCACTAGGCAGTGATTAAATGCCCATATAGCATATAATTCCATGTTCACATAAGCAGTAACTCTTTCTATCCAATGTGCTAAGAGGCCAGAAGACCTGAAAGCCTATTGAGCTCTGTTTATGTCTATGGTCTTCATCCGCCCCCCTAAAAAAAAATAAAATCAGTTCTTATGATAAATTAGCAGCATTTTCTATTTTTGCTATCAGCAAGCCATAGTGAAGGATGCAAGCAGATCATGTTTGAGGGTGTCCCACTCAGAGCTGCATTCTTGCTGTACTGTATTGCAAGTAATCTAGGTTAAAAAATGAAAGTGTCTTAACAAAAGTTCTGGATACAATGAGAAAAGTTTTAAATCCCCGCTATGTAGGGCTCCATTACAGAGAGTTACTGCCATTTGTGCCCCAGTGACAATGGTTTCACCCAGGGCCAAGTGAAGACACCTACCTCAAGATCCAAGCTGCAGGGAGAGCATCTGGGACTGCAGCCTATTTAGTCTCTGCATCATGTGACTGCCGTGGTGCAGGACCAGACCCCAACTCTTTTGCTCTGCCCTGGTACCACCACCTCACCCTCGCTTATCAGCTCTGTTCCGTCATCACTTTGTCCCCACTCTGACTCTCCTGACCCCCGAGCAGCCAACAGAATAAGGTCAGAGCTGCAGCATCTCAATGGTTGAGGGTGGGTGAGGTTTCTGCTAATAATGAGAAGGAAGGAACATGTATGACAGTGCATGTCATACATGTTCCTTCCTTCTCATCATTAGCAGAAACCTTACCCACCCTCAACCATTGAGATTCAGCATCTCTGACCTTATTCTGTTGGCTGCTCGTGAACAGAGCTCTCCCATGTGTGGAAGGCTTAGGAGAGCTCCATGGACCACACACTTCAACAATTAGGGAAGACTTGTGTGCCAGTACACCCTGTGTTTACAAGCCTTTCCTGCAGAACATCCCTCACATCTATGGCTCTCACCTTGCTTCCCTATGCTCCTCCAACAGCCCTTGCTGATGCCCCTCTATTGCTCTCCACCCCCACCCCCCCTCCTCCCAGAGTATCTCCATCTCTTTCAATACTAAAACCCCCTTCTACTGTCACCCCCATCCTTCCCTTCTGACAGCAAGCCCCTCTCTCCTATCACTTTTTCTCTTTCCACAAACCCCTACTACTATATCCCCCCCCCAACCACACCCTTCATCCCCACCTCTTCTATCCTTTCTATCCTTTACCCCGAAGGAGTCAGGGGCCATTTCTGCTTGGAGTGGATGCAGTCATGCAATGGTGCAGACCCTCATGTACTGTACAGGCTGACAGCACCAAGCAGAAGCCTGCTAATACTGACCTGGTTACCTTCAACTTGTTCCTCAGACAGCCCAGGGGAGCCTATGATAGCAAGCTCTCCAGCCACTTCACAATGTACACTCACCAGCAACTTTAGTAGGTACACCTTGCTAGTACAGTGTTGGACCCCCTTTTGCCTTCAGAACTGCGTTAATTCTTCATAGCATAGATTCACCAAGGTGTTGGAAACATTCCTAAGAGATTTTGGTCCATATTGACATGAGTTACTGTTGCCTTTCTATCATCTCGAACCAGTCTGCCCTTTCTCCTCTGACCTCTGACATCACAAGACATTTTCTTCCACGCAACTGCCACTCACTGGATACTTTCCCTTTTTAGGACCATTCTCTGTAAACCCTTGAGATGGTTGTGCGTGAAAATCATTGTAGATTAGCAGTTTTTGAAATACTCAGACCAGCCCATCTGCTGCCAACAATCATGCCAAAAGTCACTCAAATCCCCTTTCTTTCCCATTCTGAAGCTCGGTTTGAACTTCAGCAAGTCGTCTTCACCACGTCTAGATGTCTAAATTGCTGCTGTGTGATTGGCTGATTAGCAATTTGTGTTACCGAGAAATTGAAAAGGTGTACCTATAAAGTGGCTACAGAGCTGGCCATGGACTGGAGGGTCCCCTCTGTGATCCTGGGAGGCCAGTAGTGACATCATGTAAATGGTGTTCGCACCACACATGTGAGATATCGCCGTGTTTATAAATTATGGCATTATGGCGAGAGCTAGACATCTAGCATTATGGTCTAGTGCTAGACCTCCTCTGTACCTCTAAATTGGTAATCTGTAAAAATGTTAAAGTGTTGCCTATGGAGATTTTTAAGTACTGTAGTTTGGCACAAGTGTGCGCAAATCTAAATCGTGACATGTTAGGTATCGATATACATCTTTTATACTTTACCAGAAAATTAAGTAATATATTGTGTTCTTTTGCATTAAAATTCAGTGTGTATTCAAGTGTATTTTTTAAAAAAAAATTGTGTTTGAAAAATTGCTGTGCGAATACTGTGCGACATAAAAAATTGCAACAACCACTATTTTATTCTGTAGGGTCTCTGCTAAAAATATAAAATGTTTGAGGCTTCTGAGTAATTTTCTAGCAAGAAAATGATGATTTTTTTCATGTAGGAGAGAGATGTCAGAATTGGCCTGGGCTGGAAGTGGTTAAAAAACTTTTTAGTTAAACTCCTTCATTACATTCCCTTTTCTTTTTTCCCATTTGTATGTAAATCTTTTAAATTTGTATTCTTCAGTTCTACCAAATTAAAACACTCTGGGGGGATGGGGGAATGTAGGTCACATCTTGGCATTCCCACCTTGGTTGCCAGTGTACAGACACCAGACAAGATGTGAAGGAAATTATGCATCAGAAACATGGACAAAAATAAAAAATACTTCCTTTTAGTAGGGTAGGGGAAGGCTAGAATTGTGGTTTTACTGCCCCCCAGTTGCCCACCGGAAATTAACATTACAAGCTGTACACATGCCATGGCCGCAGCAATATTACCTTGGGCTGCAGAGTTTGACAGACAACATTGCCTGTCAAACTTGGCTATTGGGATCAATGGGGCTACACCTCAACTGTGAACCAAACTCTTGGCTTGCAGCTATGCTGCAGTCCTGCCATTTAGAATTGCCACCCCACAATAAAAAAAAAAAAAAAAGGAATTAGGCAATCCACAGCAAATTGCTTTTCAGAGGCTGGTAAGCTTATCACCTGTAAGAGCCCTATTGGTGTCACTGTTACAGATTCTCCCTCAGTTCCTATCTGGCCAAACCATTGTCACTGTAAGAGGAAGTGAGAAGAAATCTCCAGCAGATGGCCATGAAAACCATGCAGCGATTCTTAACCTTGTCCACTCTTTTCAAAACTTGAAAAAGATTTTGGTTGGTCTTACACATTAAATTGATGCTAAAATCGAATCAATTATGTATTCTTAACTCGAAAAAGTACCTTATGTTGTTTTCAGCCTCCTCAAACTCTCAAAATTCATGACTTCCTTTTGAAGGGTGGCTAGTTTCATTCTCCATGGTCCCTCTGTATGTAGGAACATAAGCACCCTCTCTTGCTTGCTCCTGAGATGGACTAGGGGTTAGGAACTATGGAATTTGTAATATGTATAGAGCAGTGTATGTGACCACAACTCATGGGCACTGCTTGTTCAAACAAATAGAAGTGAGGGGGGAAAGGAGAAGTTTTGGAGCTCATGGGGGATGTTACTAGGAGTCAGATACGTACTGTGCAAAACAGGTTCATGTAAAAAAAAATTACAGGACCATTAAGTAGTGGATGTGTATGGATTATTTTTTGAAGAATAAGGGATATTGTTTAGTATCACTTTAACTGATTGTATTTAGTCCTTTTAAGATCTCCTGTTTTAATGATTTAACCACATAGTGCAGGCTTATGTAATCCCTTCTAATGCCCTGATTGTAACAGAATAACACATGCTGTAATTTAATTTTTTATCGTTAATGCAGTAGAAGACCCGCAATATCATATTTTCCTTTTTCTTTCTCTGTGCTCTAACAGGGAGCAGCGCATTCAAATCACCAGATGACTTTAAGGTTTCCCTCCCACTTCGTACCAATTATTTATACGGCAAGATTAAAAAGACTCTGCCTGAGCTGTTTGCTTTCACAATCTGTATGTGGCTGAAGTCCAGCGCCTCGCCTGGGATTGGAACCCCGTTCTCCTACGCTGTGCAGGGCCAGGCTAATGAGATTGTGCTGATCGAATGGGGGAATCACCCGATCGAACTTTTAATTAATGATAAGGTAGGCATATTTTTTAAATAATTGCTTGTAGTTAGTTAAACATATTAAGTGAAGAGCATTACAAAAATACATGTTAAGTGAAAAAAAGCAAAGAAACACTGAAACATAAATTATTTCAAAATTTGATGTTGATAATGATTTCATCATTTTCTGAAAGACTAAGTTGTTATTGAATTTAAAGTATTGTTTGTTTCAAATACTGTAAGGTATACCGGTAAAGGAGTTGGGCTTGATATAAATAATAGGTCCCAATATGCCTTGTAATTCCTCACACACAATGCTGTGTGCCATAAGAAAGTTGAAACAGAACTCCAGCCAAAAATAAGAAAATCAAAAATTAATAGTCTAAAAGATAACTGTAAAAAGCAGCTTTTGTTTTAATATTCAATCCAGAGCTTCCCCCTGTAGTATCTCTTTCTGCCACAAGATGTCCTCATTCTGATGGCCAGGACCCACTTCCTCTGAGCCCAGGTTTCCTGGACCTGCCCCCGGCCTGTGACTGGGGAAGAAGTGAACGGAGATGCAGCACGGTGATAAGCTCATCTCTTTGTTACTCTGCTCTCTCCTCCTATTAGCACACCTCTTGTCAGCATGTGAATAGATTGGCTACTTGTGCTGCTTCTTCTTTTCATACTCAAGCCCTGCAGTGCAGAGTGAAAGAGGCTGATACCAGGTCAAATTCAGGTACATACACTGCTTGCATTTAAAAAATAACATTTATTGATGTATTTAGATTACAGAGCTGCTTTATTCAGTCTCTAGTATATTTGCCCGAAGTTCAGCTTAAAATAATACTGCGGCAGAGAACTAGAAATGCACAAGTGTACATTTTCCTAGTTCTCAAACCCTGCTGTCAGAGTGACACATTAGATTTATTCAACTGGCGTATATCGACACTGCTAAATTTGGTCTGGATATCTAAGCTTCAATGAAATTTGGGCACAAAAGTTTTAAAGGATAAGTTCACCTCTTGCTATCAAATAATAAATGCCCATTTTTTTGCAGGGGCCTGTAAAGCATTGCACCAGCAATCAGTAGATTGCTGATGCCATTCAGGTCTCCTGCAGACCTGTCAGAATGTGTGCTTGCCCATACGAGATGTATGCGCAATCAGATATACTGGCAGGAAGAATCAAGGAAACTACCATGGCACTGCCACAGTGCCATAGTAGTTCATTGAGAACTTCAAGCTGACAGCCGCAAAGGCAGTCTGGACCAGGGGCAAACTGACCATTTGGAAACTCAGGCAGTGCCCGAGGGCCCGGGGTCAGTAGGGGGCCCCATGAGATGCCCCTGGTACCTTTTTCATAGGCTTTTTTGAGTTTGGGCAAGGACACAGGGGCCCCATGATCCCCTATTGCCTGTGGGCCCCATGAGTTGTCAGTCTGCCCCTGGTCTGGACATGTAGTTTCTCATTCACAGAGGACTTTGAAAAATTTTGACAGCTAGCAGGAGGAGAAGATCCCCGGTTAGCTGTCAAAGCGAGGGAACAGGGGCCGGGCTTTTTTTATAACATGTTACATGTTGCATCCTGAATATTGGGTGTAACATGTGACATATTATGAAAGGTGAACTTATCCTTTAACATTTAAAAAAATATTTTTATTCATAGTTTGTGATTATACGTGCATTTGGATACCGCCATTATATGGCGTATTTGTAGCTTCGCAATTCCATATAGTGGTTGTGCTTTACTGCCACGAGTTTGCCTAGAATAATATATTCATTATGTGGTTGATTTTCTTAATAACAGACATTAAGCAGTTTGGATAAATTAGGCTCACTCTAGTGGCCAATCTCTAATTCTTTACTTTTAATGCAATAACAAAAATATGGAAGAAACCACTTTCAAATGTGACAGCCACGTCAATTATTTTATGGTAAATACTGCAATAATAAAAACATGTTTTTGAGCTCTGCGCTCTGTATGCAAGGCTGTAAATTACATAATCCTGGTCACTCTATATGGCAGGAGTGCAGCAGTCAGAGTGTGCAAAGTACACCACAGTATACAGTGTTCAGCAGTCAGGAGTATGTAATGTGCAGCAGATGACAGATTGCATTGGTCAGGAGTATGTAATCTACAGCCTCATGTAAAGAAAGAAAGGGTCAGGATTATATAAAGTATAGCACAGTGTACAGTGGTAATGGACAGGAGTATGCAACGTACTACAGAGAATACAGATTGCAGCAGTCAAGAGAATGTAATGTACAGCACAGCTGACAGAGTGCATTGGTCAGGAGTATGTAATTTATAGCCTCATGTAAAGAGAGAAGGGGACAGAATTATATAATGTATAGCACAGTGTAAAGCGTAATGGACAGGAATATGCAACGGTCTACACAGAATACAGATTGCAGCAGTCAGGAGTATGTAATGTACAGCACAGCTGACAGAACTCAATGGTCAAGAGTATGTAACATACAGCCAAATGTAACAAGAACAGAGGTTAGAATTATAGAATGCATAGTGCAGTAAAGAGGATTAGTAGTCAAGAGTATGTAACATGTCCTAAAACATGCAGTTTGCAGCAACTAGGAGTTTGTGACATGCAGTCTAGTGTAAAAGAGCAGGGGTCAGGATTATATGAGTATAGTGCAATGTACTTTACATAGTCTTGAGCATATTCTATATGTTATGTTGTGTGGTACATACCGTTTGTATGCGCTCTGTACCCTGAACTGTACATTACATACCCCTGACCACTGCACTCTGTGCATTATAAACCCCTGAACCCTGCACTCTATATGCTATATTGTAAATACACTGTTCAAAAAAATTAAAGGAACACTTTGAAAACACATCAGATCTCAATAGGGAAAAATATCATGCTGGATATCTATACTGATATGGATTGGTAAGGATGCAATATCATTTGATGGAAATGAAAATTATCAACCTACAGAGGACTGAATTCAAAGACACCCCAAAAATCAAAGTGAAAAAATTATGCAGCAGGCTAGTCCATTGTGCTGAAATTTAATTGCAGCAACTCAAAATGGTACTCAGTAGTTTGTATGGCCCCCACATGCTTGTATGCATGCCTGACAATGTCGGGGCATGCTCCTAATGAGATGGTGGATGGTGTCCTGGGGTATTTCCTCCAAGATCTGGACCAGGGCATCACTGAGCTCCTGGACAGTCTGAGGTGCAACCTGGATGCATCTGATGGACCGAAACATGATATCCCAGAGGTGTTCTATTGGATTTAGGTCAGGCGAGCGTGGGGGCCATTCAATGGTATCAATTTCTTCATCATCCAGGAACTGCCTGCATACTCTCGCCACATAAGGCTAGCATTGTCGTGCACCAGGAGGAACCCAGGACCCAGTGCACCAGCATAGGGTCTGACAATGGATCCAAGGATTTCATCCTGATACCTAATGGCAGTCAGGGTGCCATTGTCTAGCCTGTAGAGGTCTGTGAGTCCCTCCATGGATATGCCTCCCCAGACCATCACAGACCCACCACCAAAATGGTCATGCTGAACAGTGTTACAGGCAGCATAACATTCTCCACAGCTTCTCCAGACCCTTTCACATCTGTCACATGTGCTCAGGGTGAACCTGCTCTCATCTGTGAAAAGCACAGGGATTCAGTGGGGGACCTATCAATTCTGGTGTCCAATGGTAAATGCCAATTGAGCTCTACGGTGCTGGGCAGTGATCACAGGGCCCACTAGAGGATGTCGGGCCCTCAGGCTATCCTCATGAAGTCTTTTTCTGATTGTTTGGTCAGAGACATTAACACCAGTGGCCTGCTGGAGGTCATTTTGTAGGGCTCTGGCAGTGCTCATACTGTTCCTCCTTGCACAAAGGAGCAGATACCGGTCCTGCTGATGGGTTAAGTACCTTCTACGGCCCTATCCAGCTCTCCTAGAGTAACTGCCTGTCTCCTGGAATCTCCTCCATGCTCTTGAGACTGTGCTGGGAGACACAGCAAACCTTCTGGCTATGGCACGTTTTGATGTGCCATCCTGGAGGAGTTGTACTGCCTGTGCAACCTCTGTAGAGTCCAGGTATTGCCTCATGTTACCAATAGTGACACTGACCCTAGCCAAATGCAAAACTAGTAAAAAAAACAGTCAGAAAAGATAAGTAGGGAAAAAATTCCTGTGGCTGTAAAACCATTCCTGTTTTGGGGGTCGTCTCATTGTTGCCCATCTAGTGTACCTGTTGTTAATTTAATTAACACTAAAGCATCTGAAACTAATTAACAACACCCCTCTGCTACTTAACTGACCAGAGCAATATCCCAGGAGTTTAATGGACTTGATGCTATACTCTGATTACAAAGTGTTCCTTTGATTTTTTTCTTTATCAGTGTACATACTCCTGCTTATTGCGGTTGCTAAATGGTGTCCAGTTATTTTTTATTATCTGTTTCTTTATGTTAGGCTTTGATAAGGTGTTAGCTGTATGTTTTTATCCTGTTTTCAGAAAAGCTCAGAATGTAAGAGTTAGCTTTATAAAAAAAAAAATTGGTGCTGAGGTTTATAAATGTCTGTGGGACTCTCACTTGTGACGGAGTTATTAAAGCATCATTTGTGAAGATTATGGCATATGTGTTCTATAGTGAGTAGGCGACTTTAACAGTCAGCACAGTTGGGCCACATGCCTGTTCTGTATGCACACCACATCCTTCATGTCCATGGAATGTCCCGAGGTATGCTTTTCCCAATCCTAGCAATGCTCCTTTCTAGGGATAAACAGTCGTTGGTACTTTAACACTACAAAAAGGGTAGCACTTACATTAAGATTTATCTGAATGATACACATACTGTATGTTGTTCAGCAAATTCAAGTGTTTTCATTGTTTTAACAAGAATTACTGTAGTTACTGTATATTCACTGTGTTGTTTGTTTGACTTACCTTGTAATGATGGGCTCACATGTTGAGGCTGTGGTTTGTAGTGATATGGATTATCAGTTTTTTATGTGTCATTTATTGCTTCAGCTAGTGTATCCCTTTTCGCCAAAGGGACAGAACATCTTCCTGT